ACCAGGGTACCGTGTTCACGGGAGGGGAAGTGATGGCTTTTGCCAAAGAACACGGCATCAAGATCATACACTCCACTCCTTACTACGCTCAAGCCAATGGTCAAGCTGAAGCATCCAACAAGGTGGTGAAGGGTATATTGTCTAAGATGATTGAAGATAACCCGAGAAAGTGGCATGAAGTCTTGTCGGAAGCCTTATGGGCTTATCGGATGTCACCACGTAGTAGTACAAAGGTGACTCCTTTCTCTTTGACATATGGCCATGAGGCCTTCCTGCCACTCGAAATAACAGTCAATTCATTGAGGTACATGAGGCAACATGAGCTGACACCCTCAGAGTACTATGAGTCTATGATGTTGGAATTATGTGATCTTGATGAACTCCAACTCAAAGCACTCGATAACATCAAGGTGCAAAAGGACAAAGTAGCTCGCTCTTACAACAAGAGGGTTAAACACAAGTCCTTTGAAGAAGGAGAGTTAGTATGGAAACTACACTTGCCAATTGGGGAAAAGGATCCCAAGTTTGGCAAGTGGTCTCCCAACTGGCGTGGACCCTTCATTGTCCATGCCACCCGGCCCAATGGGGCCTACTTGTTAAAAGATTTAGATGGTGTGTTTCATGATCGATTGATCAATGGTAAGTATCTCAAGCCCTATGTCCCTTCACTTTGGGACGTGGGGTGTCAAGGGGTCCAATGTTAGTAGGCCACCATGGTGGCCGACATGCCAAGCCTCCCACACCCTAAGGCATGGCATGACACCCCATGAGGAAGTATGGCTTGAATAGCTAGCCATGACATGGAGGGTATATTGAGATAAAAGTATAACGTTGATATGGGGGCAATGAAGCCAAGTAGATTGGCATCACACTTCATCAATAATAAAAATAAAATTTGCTACTAAGGCAATGAGGAGTTAACTTGTCTTGGGGGGCAAGTAGATCGCAGTCCTACTGATGATTTAATGAGAAAAGTATGGCTTCTTATCTTTTAATCGACTTTGATAAAGCCAAAGCTCCACCGCAGGAGTGTTTGAGAGGTGAGCTTGATACGTACGAGGTGTGAAGCTAAGTGGTTTAGTTAATGTTAACTACTTAGTCCATAATCCTTATGCACTAAGTAGTTGGGGGGCATTTGTTTACCACTAAAAAAATAACTTAATACCACATTGATTATTTTCAAGGAGTGGTAGTGATTTATAAGGCCAGCTCAACATTAATGATTAAAAGAGATAGCTGGGCCTTGTTGGGTTGGGTTTTTGGGCCTAAGTGGCCAAACCCCTTCTCCTCTATACGATGGCCGACCCGTCTCCGTGACCCCATAGCCAGACGATGCCTCCACCCCTTGGTACAAAATTTGGCTAAGTGTTGAGATCCACAGCACAAGGAGGTCATCGCTAGTACCCTTTCGCCGTGTGGTGCAAGGAAGGCCAAAATTTGGCTAAGTGTTGAGACCCACAGCACAAGGGGGGTCGTGCATGACACCGTCCAAGGGGGTCATGCATGATCTCGTCCAAGGGGGGTCTCGTCCAAGGGGGTCAAGTATGATGTCATGCCAAAGGGGTCATCGTGCTAGACATGATGGGAAAGAAGGCTAAATTTGGCTAAGTGTTGAGACCCATAGCACAAGGGGGGTCAAGCACTATGCCATCTACCTACCTTGCACCAGGGGGGTCATGCATGACACCGTCCAAGGGGGTCATGCATGATCTCGTCCAAGGGGGGTCTCGTCCAAGGGTGTCAAGCATGACACCGTCCGAGGGGTGCCAAACAACCGGGTATCAAATAGGAGGCCATCCGTGCTGAGACAAAATCGGCTAAGTATGGGGCAAGAGGGTACCATGCCGGCAAGGAGGGCTTGGTACCAAAACATTGAATTTGGCTAAGTATAGAGCCAAAGGGGTATCAAGTCGAAAAGGCATGCTTGATACTAAAATACATGAAAATTGGTTAAGTATGGAATCACATGGCCATAGCAAGAGGGTACCAAGCCGGCAAGGCATGGCTTGGTACCAAGACATGAAAGGCATGAATTTGGCTAAGTATGAAGCCAACGGGGTCGGCAAGACAGGCTTGGCAGCCAAGCAAAGCGACAGGGTATCATACCCCTTGGTATCATGACCCCAAGGGGGTATCAAGCCGGTAAGACTGACTTGGTGGCCAGGCAACAGGGGGCCAAGACGGACTTGATAGCCAGACATCAGGGTATCAAGCCAACAAGACAAGAAATTCGACGAAGGCATGGTGGCTAGCTGAGGTGGCCACCCGACTAGGTACCAAACAGCCATGTATGGCCCTTATGAGGCCATATGGAGACAAAGTCCCAAGACGGGCTTGGTAGCACCCTAACAGGGTACCAAGCCGGCAGGGTGTAATTTACCAACTTGATGAGGCTACAAAAACTAAGTATGGATACCAAGCCACCAGGGCTGGCTTGGTAGCAAGGGGTGTCAAGTTGATTACATAGGCTTGGTGGCATGCCAGAAGGTATCAAGCCGATGAGACGGCTTGGTGACAACCAACAAGTTAATGAGAAGGACTTGGTGTCATGAGGTGGTAGCGGACTCAGGAGCGGGGAGTCATCAAGCAGTCGAGGGTGAGATCAAGACCTCATCATGGCTCATGGAGGCTAAGGCAGGAGCCTCAACCCCATCCAGTTATGACAAGGCGACAAGGCTCAACACCAACCCGACCCGGCATCGAGGCCATCAAGTACCCACCAACCCCAAGACGGGACAAGGGCCTCAAGGCGACGGTTACCAACTAGTCACCAAGGCGGCGACAAGGACCCCGAGGCGGTTTGGAGCAAGAGGCCAGCTAGCAGTTACCAAGGCGGTTACCAAGGCAGTTACACCTAGTGGCTATAAATAGAAGAAACGAAGAAGAAGCAAAGGTTCCACAACCAACCATTTGACACACTATGTCAAACTTTTATCCTTTCTCTGCAAATTAGCCATAGCCCTTAGTTTTCGGAGCTCTCACTGAACCTCCATAGGAGTAGGAGTAATTAACGTAGCTTGTTCCCAAAAAACCATCAAAACATCAAACACCCTCGTTCGAACATTGTTCGGAGAGGAGTGGACCGTGTTTAGAATCGTTGTTCAAGAAGTCAAAGGTGCATTCATTGTGTTCAAACACCAGTTTTTCCTCGCCGGAAAACACATTCCCACCCACCGAAGGATTGAATGCTAAGGTGGGAAAATAGAAAAGGTCTAGACTAACAAACATATTCGCCATGCAAGTCAATGCATAAAAATCTAGTGGCCGATTGAACCAAAGGAGGGATTGATCCCTATTGAGTATTGACCGACCTTATTCGTACCTTTGCCCGTGACCGGTCAATGCCTATTAAAATAATGTAACAGTTTGGACTGGACCAAATAACGACAAACGGTACAAATATATTAAAATTAATTTTAGAGTAAAGATTTAAAATATTGTTGTATTTGATTCGGCTTGATCCCGTCCAAATATCAATTCAGGTCATTTTTATTCATATTTATAAAATTCACGAAAACAAAAATCAGACCACATTATATTCTATTCGTTATGGTTTGTCCAAGACATCAGATTGGTCTGGTACGGATCAAACTGTTGCAATCACAAGTAGGGGTGACACGTGGGTGGTTATTTCGCGTAACGTCGATCCACCCATAAATAACCGTAATGGCAGTGGGTCGGTGATATCTGGGTGGATTTCGGATTGAAAATCTCCTATCAGCACTTACTCAAGTAGCTGTGGGGTAAGTTGCGGGTCACCAAAATGACTCACACCATATTTTCACATGACAAAAAATTGTTTCTTATTAATACTATCATATAATCATTATATTTTTTAGCTGTACTACACACTGATCATCAACTACTAAAAGTGGAGAATAAAGAATATTTTTGGACTGCTACTATCGCTTACTATGTTGTGTAGTATACATTAGATACTGAGATGCAAATTATAAACTATTAATTATATAAATGTTGCAAAATACGTCAATTTTCTTTTTACAATTGATCGATAGAGTAATGAAGATTTTGATGAAATACACGGATGCACAATAAGCAAAGTGGGAAGTGCCTAAATCACTACAGTCAAACTAATTTGCATGGAACTTATTATAAGTGTTAGTCAACATGCTTAATAGCTAGTTCGGGAATTATTTTTGGGGTTCAAATTGACTCACCTGCTTACTAACGAGTTGTTATAGCTGTAATTCGCTATCCACTCACAATTTTTTTTCCGGGTAACTCGTAATCCATTCGCCACCCACCTTATCCAATAAAAAAAATATGGAGCATTTCTACTATGCTATATAGTATTGGTGCTTTAATGTACAACTTAAAGTTGTACCATATCATGAAATGTATAAGTTTAGATTGTACCATAAAAGAATTTGTACCATTATGTTGTGGTACAACTTTACAACTTGAAGTTGTACCATCACATAAAGGTACAAGTTCAAGTTGTACCATAAAAGAATTTGTACAAACAGTATAGGTATAATATAAAGTTGTACCATAACGTTAAATGTACAATTTCAAGTTGTACCATAAAGGCAAAAACCTATAGCACCAATACTATACAGCATTGTAAAATTCCTAAAAATATGAGTTGATAACTGATTACCATTACACCAACTATTAGTAAGTGAATGAGTTAATTAACTAAAATCTATCCAACCGGCCTATTGCCCACCCTACTCAGGAGATAATCGGATAGCTTTGCACCATCAGCACACAACCACCAGACCTGTGGGCTGTGGCCCGCATTGGGTTCGACTGTACCTCTGACACTGGACAGGTAAGCCTTGGGCCTAAACCAATAACAAGCTGCCGTCTAACTCATGCTAGGCCCTCTAACTCGAATCTTGCTTATAACTCAACCCAATCGTAGCGTTATCTTAAATGAAATTCGAGAGTGCAGCAGAACGGAAGTGGAACAGACCACACCCAATTACAACCCATCTGTAATCTAAGCAGAGCTCATCATCTTCAACAGCAGGGAGCTGCAGAGGCATCCTATCTTCCTTCCGAAAGAAATTCAACAAACCCATCCCTTGAAAGCCAATCTACCTATTCCCATTCTCACCCAATATCAAAATCGAAACCCAACCCATCTTCGCTTCCTCTCCCGCTCTCATCGATTAAATATCAATCTCCTTTCTTCCTGCTTCGCCCTCCGCTGGTCTTCAATGGAGACTCTGACTTCTCTCTGCGCGAGCCAGGCTCTTGTTTCCCACACGGCCCGCCCAATGCCAATTTCTGCCGCCGGAAGCTCCGTCTCCGCAAAGGGATACGCTTGCTCTATCAAGTCTCGAGCTTTTCCTCCGAGGAAGCAGAGGGCGAGCGTCCTCAAGGCCGCCGTCGCCGTTGAGCAGCAGACCGAGAAGCCCAAGGTTGCGCTCATCAGAATTGGCACCAGGGGAAGGTGCTTAAACTTCAATTCCATCTTCTATTGTTTTGTTAATAGTCTCTTCGCTTCTGATCTTGCCACTGCATAATGTGGGTTCTCTCCCTTGTTGTCGCTGCCCACCCTGAGAATGGTGAACTGGGTTTTGGAGGAAGGGGGTTTTATCAAGTGCTAAATTTTGATGGTTTAGCTTTTCCAGATTTCATTTCTGATTCTGATTTCTACTTGTGGGGAAATTTTGACATCCATGGACGTCAGTGTGATATTTGTATGTTGGGTGTAGAAATCAGTGTGCTTTATAGATGTAGGGGTAGTTGGCTTTTGCTGCTTCTCAACTACTAGAATTTCTGCTCAGTTTGATGTTATTGCTTTTAAGGAAAGCCCGCTGGCACTAGCTCAGGCTCATGAGACGAGGGAGAAACTCATGGCTGCACACTCTGAGCTAGCTGAGGAAGGTGCTATCGAGATTGTGATTATAAAGACGACAGGAGATAAGATCCTCAGTCAGCCCCTTGCTGACATTGGTGGGAAAGGGTTGTTCACCAAGGAAATTGATGAGGCGCTGATCAATGGTGACATTGACATTGCTGTGCACTCCATGAAAGATGTGCCTACCTATTTACCTGAACAGACAATCCTGCCTTGCAACATGGACCGAGAAGATGTTAGAGATGCATTCATCTCGTTGAATGCATCTTCACTGGCAGATCTCCCTGCTGGGAGCATAATTGGCACTGCTTCCCTCAGGAGAAAATCGCAGATACTGCACCGGTATCCCTCGCTTAAGGTAAAAGCATGTTTTGAAGAATTTGTTGGATTGTTGTTGCAAATTTGTGTGGGGAGTTAATTAGTGAGTTCCTTAAGACCTTCGTACTTTTATCTCATTAAGTAGGCACTAGTTGGCTTAGCGACCCCTTGTCTGGGTTTTAAGACACTTGAAAGACAGACCATGGCTGCCCAGATCTCACCAAGGGAACTAGTTGTTCAGTGTTGTTTCTTCCTAGATTCCAACTCTGAAAGCTGAAAAAACTTCATGACCTTGTTTTCGTGCAGTTTGAACTTGTTCCAAGCTCTGCTGGACGTTATTCTTGACATATACTCACAGTATTGTTGGTTAGTGTGTGCTATCTTTCATCTGACATACCGTTGTTTAAATTTCCTATTGCAGGTGGTCGAAAACTTTCGTGGCAATGTGCAGACAAGGTTACGAAAACTGAATGAGGGAGTGGTTCATGCAACTTTGTTAGCGTTGGCTGGCCTAAGACGTTTAAACATGACAGAGAACGTGACAGCCACTCTGTCAATAGACGACATGCTCCCAGCTGTTGCTCAAGGAGCCATCGGCATTGCTTGCAGAAGCAATGATGATAAAATGGTAAGTCGAGAGGCTTAATGGAAATCATCCTACCAGTTAGTTTGATCAAGTTGGTTGCTGGCGTATAGTGAATGCCTGTCAACATTTGATTGCAGGCCGAGTACCTAGCTTCACTAAACCATGAAGAGACAAGGCTAGCAGTCACATGCGAGAGAGCCTTCCTCTTAACTTTGGATGGTTCGTGCCGCACTCCTATTGCTGGATATGCCAGCAGAGATGAGAATGGCGATTGCTTATTCAAGGGACTGGTTGCTTCTCCGGATGGGACTCGCGGTGTGTGCATTTTTCATTCAATTCATAGAGTCTATGCTCCGTATTATTCTTTTCTCTTAGATGATACCTACCGTGTTCTGAATTGTTTTGGATTTTTACAGTGCTAGAGACTTCCAGGAAAGGTCCATATGCCATTGATGATATGATACTGATGGGGAAGGATGCCGGGAAGGAACTGCTTTCGCGGGCAGGACCTGGATTCTTCAACTCATGAGTCGATGGACAGCAAGAAGTTGAGAGAACGATAGCGCGGCAGAAACACGAAGGCTAGTGTAGAGAAGTTGGAGATTTTTTTTTTTTGGCTAGGATGCAAGGCTCTTGAGTGCTGTTTGTTTCAATGTACCACTGAACATGAAATTGTTTGTTGTATTTGTAACTAGATATGTAATTTGTTTGTGGCGGTGTAAGATGGCATGGAAGCATGATTAGCGATTCAATTTCCGAAATTCAGGATCTGTTCTGCAGAAACCCCGCTGGAGTTTTCTCAGAAGTTCACCGACGATCGTTGTTGTAAATCGCAGTTGATCATTGTAATAATAGCACCAATGTGGTACCTGATATGCAGCTTAAGCATCACAATCGACACTAATCGGAATATTCATTCATGGTTCAGATTCAAATCTAAAAACTCTCCCATCAGGCAACGCGCTAGTGTAAAAATGACCGTTCAACATGGAAGAACATTGATTACCTTCTCCGAGCCACAAACACCGTTGGATTCCATCGTCTCAAACACAGCACAGCAGTAGTTTCCCCTGCATTGCATCTGATTAAACCTATACGGTAAATTACGTATATACCCTTAATCAAAATTCAAATTGGAACCAAACCAACGAACCCTCAATCCTCACTTTTCCGTCCTCTTTCATTAAACATCGGCTGGAGCAGACCATCTTCTTCATCTTCTTGTCAAGCCCGCCGCCGCCACCTGAAGCAGATCTCGCCTGGAGAGGACGACGACGCCTGAAGACAGAGCTCGATCCAGTCCTGCCCGTTGAACGATCCTTCCATACCTGCCGCCGCGATAGCTTTGCACCATAAGCATACAACCATCAGACTTGTGGCCCACACTGGGCTCGACTGTAGCTCGGACTGGACAGTTCAGCCTTGGGCCTAAAACATATAACAAGCTGCTGTCTAACTCATACCAGGTCCAATTACCAAATCTTGCTTATAACCCACCCCAATCCCAGCCCAATTACAGCGTTCTCTTAAATGAAATTAGAGAGCTACACGAGAACGGAATGCAACAGAGCACACCCGATTACAACCCATCTGTAATCTAAGCAGAGCTCATCTTCTTCAACAGCAGGAAGCTGCAGCGGCATCCTATCTTCCTCCCGAAAGAAATTCAACAAACCCATCCCTTGAAAGCCAATCTATCTATTCCCACTCTCACCCCATTATCAAAATCGAAATCAAAACCCAACCCATCTTCGCTTCCTCTCCCGTCTCTCATCAATTAAATATCAATCTCCCTTCTTCCTGCTTCGCCCTCCGCTGGTCTTCAATGGAGACTCTGACTTCTCTCTGCGCCAGCCGGGCTCTTGTTTCGCACACGGCCCGCCCAATGCCCATTTCTGCCGCCGGAAGCTCTGTTTCTGCAAAAGGCTACGCTTGCTCTATCAAGTCTCGAGCTTTTCCTCCGAGGAAGCAGAGGGCGAGCGTCGTCAAGGCCGCCGTCGCCGTTGAGCAGCAGACCGAGAAGCCCAAGGTTGCTCTCGTCAGAATTGGCACCAGGGGAAGGTGCATAAACCTCAATTCCCTTTATCTCTTTTGTTAATAGTCTCTTCGCTTCTGATCTTGCCAGTGCATAATGTGGGTTCTCTCGCTGCCCACCCTGAGAATGGTGAACTGGGTTTTGAAAGAAGGGGGAAGTGCTAAATTTTGATGGCTTAATTTCGCTTTTTCCATATTTCATTTCGGATTCTGATTTCTACTTGTGGGGAAATTTTGACATCCATGGACGTTAGTGTGATATTTGTATGTTGGGTGTAGAAATCAGTGTGCTTTATAGATGTGGGGTAGTTGGCTTTTGCTGCTTCTCAACTAGTAGAATTTCTGCTCAGTTTGATGTTATTGCTTTCAAGGAAAGCCCGCTGGCACTAGCTCAGGCTCATGAGACTAGGGAGAAACTTATGGCTGCACACTCTGAGCTAGCTGAGGAAGGTGCTATCGAGATTGTGATCATAAAGACGACAGGAGATAAGATCCTCAGTCAGCCCCTTGCTGACATTGGTGGGAAAGGGTTGTTCACCAAGGAAATTGATGAGGCGCTGATCAATGGTGACATTGACATTGCGGTGCACTCCATGAAAGATGTGCCTACCTATTTACCTGAACAGACAATCCTGCCTTGCAACATGGAGCGAGAAGATGTTAGAGATGCATTCATCTCGTTGAATGCATCTTCACTGGCAGATCTCCCTGCTGGGAGCATAATTGGCACTGCTTCCCTCAGGAGAAAATCGCAGATACTGCACCGGTATCCTTCGCTTAAGGTAAGCATGTTTTGAAGAATGTGTTGGATTGTTGTTGCAAATTTGTGCGGGGAGTTAATTAGTGAGTTGCTTAAGACCTTTGTATTTTTATCTCATTAAGTAGGCACTAGTTGGCTTCGTGGCCCCATGTCTGGCTTTTAAGACACTTGAAAGACAGACCATGGCTGCCCACCTCTCCCGAGGGGAACTAGTTGTTCAGTGATGTTTCTTCCTAGATTCCAACTCCGAAAACTGAAATAACTTCTTGACCTTGTTTTCATGCAGTTTGAACTTGTTCCAAGCTCTGCTGGATTTTATTCTTGAAATATCCTCACAGTATTGTTGGTTTATGTGTGTTATCTTTCATCTGACATACCGTTGTGTAAATATCCTATGGCAGGTGGTCGAAAACTTCCGTGGCAATGTGCAGACGAGGTTACGAAAACTGAATGAGGGAGTGGTGCATGCAACTTTGTTAGCGTTAGCTGGCCTCAGACGTTTAAACATGACAGAGAACGTGACAGCCACTCTGTCAATCGACGACATGCTCCCGGCTGTTGCTCAAGGAGCCATCGGGATTGCTTGTAGAAGCAATGATGATAAAATGGTAAGTCAACAGACTTGATGGAAATGATCCTACCAGTTTGTTAATCGGGTTGCTTTCTGCCGCTATAGTCAATGCCTGTAACCATTTGATCGCAGGCCGAGTACCTAGCTTCACTAAACCATGAAGAGACAAGGCTAGCAGTCACATGCGAGAGAGCCTTCCTTTTAACTTTAGATGGTTCTTGCCGCACTCCTATTGCTGGATATGCCAGCAGAGATGAGAATGGTGATTGCTTATTCAAGGGACTGGTTGCTTCTCCAGATGGGACTCGCGGTGTGTGCATTTTCCATTCAATTCTTATAGTCTATGCTCTCCGTTCTTCTTTTTCTCGTAAATGATACCCGCTGTGTTCTGAATTGTTTTGTATATTTTACAGTGCTAGAGACTTCCAGGAAAGGTCCATATGCCATTGATGATATGATACTGATGGGGAAGGATGCCGGGAAGGAACTGCTTTCGCGGGCAGGACCTGGATTCTTCAACTCATGAGTCGATGGACAGCAAGAAGTTGAGAGAACGATAGCGCGGCAGAAACACTAAGGCTAGTGTAGAGAAGTTGGAGATTTTTTTTTTGGCTAGGATGCAAGGCTCTTGAGTGCTGTTTGTTTCAATGTACCACGGAACATGAAATTGTTTGTTGTATTTGTAACTAGATATGTAATTTGTTTGTGGCGGTGTAAGATGGCATGGAAGCATGATTAGCGATACAATTTCCGAAATTCAGGATTTGTTCTGCAGAAACCCCGCTGGAGTTTTCTCAGATGTTCACCGACGATCGTTGTTGTAAATCGCAGTTGATCATTGTAATAATAGCACCAATGTGGTACCTGATATGCAGCTTAAGCATCACAATCGACACTAATCGGAATATTCATTCATGGTTCAGATTCAAATCTAAAAACTCTCCCATCAGGCAACGCGCTAGTGTAAAAATGACCGTTCAACATGGAAGAACATTGATTACCTTCTCCGAGCCACAAACACCGTTGGATGCCATCGTCTCAAACACAGCACAGCAGTAGTGTCCCCTGCATTGCATCTGATTAAACCTATACGGTAAATTACGTATATACCCTTAATCAAAATTCAAATTGGAACCAAACCAACGAACCCTCAATCCTAGGGATGGCAATGGGTCGGGTTGGGGCGGGTTTTGCCAAACCCGAACCCAAACCCACGGGTTTGTCCGTCAAAAAAACCCGGGGTAAAACCCGCTGGGTTTGAAAAACCCAAACCCAACCCAACCCGCTGGGTATCCGCGGGTTGACGGGTACCCGTGGGTTTTTTTTTTTTTTTTTTGTAAGAGAGGAAGATGAGGTTTTTTTCTCAAGCTGTGCAACAGAGCTTCTCCAAAACTCCCTCGAAGCTGCCTTCCTCCCTGCCGCGCAACCCGTTCCCTTCCTCCCTCCTCAACTCCAACGTGCTCTGGGGGAAGTACAGCTGCAAGTCGATTTAGTCCAAAACAACAATCAACAACTCAATCCACCGACCACCATCAATATCACTTACACCCACCAGGGGAAGGGTCGGAGCAGAGGAACCAGGAGGTGGGCGGCGGGTGTGGACCGTCGGCGTTGGCGGGATGTGAGACTACGCGCAGAGCAGAGGAGAAGGAGGAGGGCGGCGGGACTGAAGGGCGGCAGGACTGGAGTCGGCGGGAGGCGGCGATGTGTAGGCGCGGAGCAGAGTAGCAGGGGGAGGGCGGCGCGGTATGGATTCGAACGTCGGCCGTCGGCGGGGAGGTGGGGACTTGGAGGCTCAGAGCAGAGGAGTAGCAGGGGGAGGGCGGCCGGTGACGGGAATGGAGACGGGATCCAGATTCGGCGGCGACGGGAATGGAGACGGGAGGAGGACACAGGTTTGGCGGCGAGAATTGATTTCAGAGAGGGAGAGGTTTGGTGGCGGCGTGCTGCTCTCTGCTGGGAGGTTTGGTGGCGGCACAAATTTGGGGTTGGAGGAGGACAGGAGGTCGACTGACTCAATGACAAAATTTGGGGTTTGGTGGCGGCCAGGCACATTAGAGATATTAGGGATTTAGGGTTTTACCTATATCCGGGTATCCACGGGTCGGGTTCCCCCAAACCCGAACCCGACCCAACCCGCCCAGCCAGCCATCGGGTTTTAACCCGAACCCGACCCGAACCCAGTCAACACGGATTTTATCCGGTTTGACCGGGTCGGGTCGGGCGGGTACCCGCGGGTCCGGGTTTTATTGCCATCCCTAGATCGTTCAACGGGCAGGACTGGATCGAGCTCTGTCTTCAGGCGTCGTCGTACTCTCCAGGCGAGATCTGCTTCAGGTGGCGGCGGCGGGCTTGACAAGAAGATGAAGAAGATGGTCTGCTGCTCCAGCCGATGTTTAATGAAAGAGGACGGAAGAGTGAGGATTGAGTAGGGATGGCAATAAAACCCGGACCCGCGGGTACCCGCCCGACCCGACCCGGTCAAACCGGATAAAATCCGTGTTGACTGGGTTCGGGTCGGGTTCGGGTTAAAACCCGGTGGCTGGCTGGGCGGGTTGGGTCGGGTTCGGGTTTGGGGGAACCCGACCCGTGGATACCCGGATATAGGTAAAACCCTAAATCCCTAATATCTCTAATGTGCCTGGCCGCCACCAAACCCCAAATTTTGTCATTGAGTCAGTCGACCTCCTGTCCTCCTCCAACCCCAAATTTGTGCCGCCACCAAACCTCCCAGCAGAGAGCAGCACGCCGCCACCAAACCTCTCCCTCTCTGAAATCAATTCTCGCCGCCAAACCTGTGTCCTCCTCCCGTCTCCATTCCCGTCGCCGCCGAATCTGGATCCCGTCTCCATTCCCGTCACCGGCCGCCCTCCCCCTGCTACTCCTCTGCTCTGAGCCTCCAAGTCCCCACCTCCCCGCCGACGGCCGACGTTCGAATCCATACCGCGCCGCCCTCCCCCTGCTACTCTGCTCCGCGCCTACACATCGCCGCCTCCCGCCGACTCCAGTCCTGCCGCCCTTCAGTCCCGCCGCCCGCCTCCTTCTCCTCTGCTCTGCGCGTAGTCTCACATCCCGCCAACGCCGACGGTCCACACCCGCCGCCCACCTCCTGGTTCCTCTGCTCCGACCCTTCCCCTGGTGGGTGTAAGTGATATTGATGGTGGTCGGTGGATTGAGTTGTTGATTGAGTTGTTGATTGTTGTTTTGGACTAAATCGACTTGCAGCTGTACTTCCCCCAGAGCACGTTGGAGTTGAGGAGGGAGGAAGGGAACGGGTTGCGCGGCAGGGAGGAAGGCAGCTTCGAGGGAGTTTTGGAGAAGATCTGTTGCACAGCTTGAGAAAAAAACCTCATCTTCCTCTCTTACAAAAAAAAAAAAAAAAAACCCACGGGTACCCGTCAACCCGCGGATACCCAGCGGGTTGGGTTGGGTTTGGGTTTTTCAAACCCAGCGGGTTTTACCCCGGGTTTTTTTGACGGACAAACCCGTGGGTTTGGGTTCGGGTTTGGCAAAACCCGCCCCAACCCGACCCATTGCCATCCCTAGAACGATCCTTCCATACCTGCCGCCGCCACGCCGCCCCATTCGTCGTCGCCAGTCACGCCGGCGAAGACGACCGGTAAAGGTAACCGCCATTCGTTCCAGCCTAGTTGGGAAAACGCCGATGCGCTGCGTTGTTGCCGTCGGTCGAACGCAGTAGGCTGCGTTGCATCCGCCGGCCAAACGCGGACGCCGCTCGTTTGATCCGCTGGTCAACCGCGGTCAAGGCGCGGTTGGCCGCTGGTCAGACCGCGGTCAACGCGCGGTTGGCCTCTTTTTGCCATTTTTTTAATTAATTATAAATACTACTTTTGAATTATAATTAAATATAAAAATATATTTTAAAATAATCATAAATTGTAAATAATGGTCTAGATTTATAAAAAAATATCATAAATTGAAAATAACTATTCGTGTTATGATTTTAATATTACAAAGTTTAAAGTAATTGTTTTATATGAATATAATTATCATAAATTATTATTAGTGATCTAGAATTATGAAATAAATTTGTCAAAAAATAAAATAATTCATTTTTCTTATGTTTTTTCTCATACAAAATTTAAAATAATTTATTTTTATGCATTTGGTTATCAAAATTTGTAACTTGCAATCTTTTTCTTTTCAAGATGTCTGCACATGGAAGAGGCAAATCAGAAATGACTAGGAAAATAATGGAAGATCACACTTGTAGACTTAAAGCAACCGGTAGAAAAGAAAATGAAGAAAAAAATTCATGTAAGGTTATGGAGAAGAAGAAAAAGGCGAAAATAGTGCATCCTGACGGTAATTCTACTCAGGGTCAGTTGTCTCTTAGTCGAGGTATTACCTCTACTCCTGTCCCGGAGGATTCAGTAGCTTGGGAGCCTCGTTGGAGCGACTCGGTTACAGGGGATGATGATGATGATGATGATGCTATTGATGATGGTAATGAGGTTGGGAATGTCCCACTTGAAGGGAATGTAGACGTCGTAAAGACCGTAGGAGTTGAGACATCTTCTACTGCCTCGTCATGCTTTCGAGGGCCTAGTAGACGTTATATTGCCGCACCTAGTGGAGAGAATGGCAATGATAGGAGGAGGAGGAAGAAGACATCAAGGCAAGACATGTCTTGGTTTCTTACATCAGATTCTGAGGTTTGTTCTGGTGGACCAGTGATTCCCGATGTCATCCCTAGTTTTGGAGGTCATGTGGCCCTTGCACTATGGACTTCTCCTGAGAAGGATCGTGGGGTGTTGGAGTGTTTCCACCGACCTGGTAAGGTGGAGTCTTTGAGGCGATATCAGTGGAGTGCAGAGGGTTCTCGTGAGATAGTTCGAGACACCGGATTGTCCCACTTGGCGGGGTGCATGATACACCATTTAGATGTGGCTCTATTATCTGCTTTTGTGGAGAGGTGGCAGCCAGACACAAACACCTTCCACATGCCATTTGGAGAGATGACAATCCTTCTCCACGACGTGCATCACATTTTGCGTATTCCAGTTGAGGGGGTGATGATGAGAGATGAGGCATCGGCTGATATTCTGAAGGCTGACATGAGTGGTCTAGTTCGACTCTCTGTGGATGCTTCCGTTGGTGGTGAGTGGAAGTCCAAGTGGTTCGTTAATGGTGGTATGCATGGGGATGGAGTGCTTGTGAGAGCTCGAGAGTTGCAGATTGAGGAGGTTGAGGTGCAGTGTTACTTGTTTGTGTTGTTGGGATCCACGCTTTTCGTGGATAAGAGTCGTGATCGCATTCGTCCTGCGATCAACTTGTTTCTGAAGGATCATCGATCAGTGGCTGGTTATGCTTGGGGAGCTGCTGCACTCGCCTATCTCTATAGGCAACTAGGGGTGGCCACACGAGTGGATAGTAAGAATATTTGTGGCTGTTTAACCCTCCTTCAGGCTTGGATATATGAGTACTTTCCACTCTTTCGTCCTAGCCAGTTAGTGCAGTCTGCAGATGCTCCTCGTGCTTCCTCGTGGGTATGCCCTCGCTTGTCAGGTGGGGATGATGCTCGGCAGCGCTTGTTAGGGTATCGGCAGATGTTGAATGAGATGTCACCGGATGATGTGACTTGGACTCCGTATGGGCGATTTCCTGGCAAGGAGGTACCGCGTTCGCTGTTCACTGGTGTCATTCGCTTTTCTGATATTGCTGAGGTTTACGATCCTGGACGTTGTCGGCGCCAGTTTGGATATAGACAGATTGTCCCCCGTCCAACGATGGTGCCATGCGAGCACTACCGTCCTACTTCTGGCATCAGCTACAGTGTTTTCTGGAGCAAGTCTGCAGATCAATTATGGGTCAACTTGCCGGGCCATTCTCTTCATTTGGACTTTGATTCCTTCCCATGTGAGCTCCCATCTGAGGTGGAAGAGGGATACATTGATTGGTACCAGACTCGATCGCACCCACTAATCAACCACCCCAGCTCTAAAGGGAAGTCTTTGTGGCGTCCAGTACTACGCGATAAGGTTAGTTATTGTTATTTTGTAATGATAATATTAGATTAATATGTTGTACGATCAGTCTGTCATGTATGCTTCTATTTTCAGTTGTGTGAGCAGATTGTGGATCGGTTAGGCCCCGTATTGAAAGTGAGGGATCGGGCGCATTTCGTGGAGCATGTTGCTGAGTACTACCAGATAATAACCACCACTCACGAGTTGTACGACCAGTATGTCGGAGCACAGCCTCGGTAGATGTTTGTTATCATTGTGTTCATTTTTTTTTTATTTTCACTGTTTGTTGGTAACTAGGATGATCATGTTGGTTGGTATCTTTGTGTTCTATTTTTAATTTTCACTTTATGGTTGTATCCAAACTGGGGCGATTGTGTTGTTTGTTATCCTTGTGCTTTTCATTGTGAGCATTCATAATATAGTTGTTTTGTTCGTTAATCATCTAAGACTGAAAGCTACAATAGTATTTGTCAATACAATTACTAAAAGTAGGGGTGGCTATACGGTCCGGTACGATTAAATTGGCTCGAATTGATTTGGTCTCAGTTTGGTCTTTTCGGGAATATAAGGACCAAAGAATGGATTGGTACCTGTTCGGTCTTGATCCGTCCCGGTCTTGACCCGGTCCGGTCCCAATTCGGTCTTGATATTAGATTGAGCTTGTGGAGATTTTAGTGGCTTGAGGCGTGATAGGGTGAGAAATCGTTTAAGTGTTGGGCTCTCTTATCCGGTCTTTATCCGGTTTCGGTCCGAACTCGAATGGTTTTTTTTATCTCAAATCTAAGCCCGAAGATGGGATTGGATTGTTTGCTATCCGGTCTCAGTCCGATCTCGATCCGGGTTATACGGTCCGATTTCGAGTAAAACCAAAAAGCCGGAACCAAATAGCCATCCCTAACTAAAAGCAATTCTAATCGCCAACTCTTTGGGTTCAAACTATCATAAAATTGATGATGCTCTAAGAACCAATGGTCCCAACCATGGACGCCATCATCAAGAAAATGGTGTCAAATAGTGACAAAGGAAGACATGGCCACTTGACCTTATCGAAAGTAAGTCGCAACCAATGACACTCTATAAAATGTTGTGATAAGATGCCACGTGGTCTTGTTACATCTGTTGGGGGTAGTCATAGGTAGCTATAAATAGATGAGACTCCCTTTGAGATAAACATATGTGCATGCAATAGAGTAAGCAAGAAACATGAGATACGAGGTCCAGCATGAAGAGAAGAGCCTTGTTTGGTAGTCAAGGATGACTTGTCTGTTCCTAGACATGCATGGATTTCAACTTCATGAGGAGTTTGAAATCTTGTTTAGGTCTCCAGGCAGTCATTTGGCTAACTTGACAAGCTCTTCTCCCTCGTGCTAGACTCCCTCCTTTTCTCCTACATCTAGAAAAACCATCAGCTCATAGTTGCCTGATTTTTTTTTTTTTTTGGGTCCAGAACTTAGATCTTACGTGAAGGTTTGGCCTTCTTATGTAGTCAAGGATGACTTTCCCAATCGAGTAGAGTAACACCTTAGGCAAATCCCACATCGACAAAGCACGGGAGAGATCCATGGTTCATAAGTAGGAAACCGACCTTAACTGACAAGACGTGTTTTGGGGTGAAATGGAGGAGTTCTTGTGAGAACTTTGAAGTTAAAAGTGCTTAGTGTGGAGTACAACAAGGATGGGTGACCTTATGGGAAGTCACCTTGAATTGCACCCCGAGTCGAAAACCGTAAGGGTCGAGGCCCAAAGCGAACAATATCTTCGTCGAGAAAAGGTTCGGGATGTTACAAGTAGTTTATTTTTCCTCCTAAAATATGTGAATTGCACCCCAAGTCGAAAACCGTGAGGGTCGAGACCCAAAGCGAACAATATCTTCGTCGGGAAAAGGTTCGGAATGTTACAAGTAGTTTATTTTTCCCCCTAAAATGCGGGGTATGAGAGTCTCATGCCAGACCCTTTGTTCTTTTCTTGCTCAAAATAAGATCTACCTTGTTGACCATCGTTGACCAAAATTTTCCTTTCTCAAGATGGTAAGATATATATATATATATATGGGATTACTAGCTGGTATAACACTATAACTTGATCTTGTGTTCCTTTTTATAGTCTACTATTATGATAAAGAATTCTTTGGTTGCCACTGTTACACTGTACCAAATCACCCACTCAGGAATGTGCAGATACTAATCATGGAGCTGGGTAACCATCTTATTGTAAAAAAAAAAAAAAAAAACTGGGTAACCATCTCAAAAAAAAAAAAATTATTTCCCTTTCTTAGTCAAAGTCTCGAAGACCTAGCTTATAGATTATTTCTTTTCGCATTCCTCGATATTATAGCACATGCATATCAGTTACATTAATCATTATAGTGCATATATACCACTCTAATGTGGAAGTGTCCCAGAAGCACAAAAAATCGTAGCGCAGAAAGCCAAATTCATACCAATCTTGTCAGTGCCGACAACTATTGACTAGATTCTCAAGGCCTAGGGCTTAGCGACTCGAACTGGGAAACAATCTAGTTCGATTAAACCGAACTGGATCGACCAAGTTAACCAAATGTTATTTAGCCAAATATGTAACTGAAAACTCAATTGAAAACAGTTTTAACCGTGATCGAGTTGGATTGAATACGTTTGGACCGGTTTTAACTTGAAAAAATCATAAAGTCTCCATTACTGGAAAAAAGACACCTCCACTCCCCCAAGCCCCATCCATCCACCCCCCCCCCACCCCCCAATCGCACAATTAGGGTTGTGTCGTGTCGGGCTTTGCAGAGCTTGGCTTCTAGACAGAGCTAGGTTGTAGGGCTCATTGGTTTGGCCCGATTTTGAATTGGATTAGACATGATACTGTTTTTTTTCATAATCCACAATCGTAATCTGGACCACACCGAGTTGCAATTGGTTTTCGATTGTAATTGGATCAAGTTATATGGTCCACTTTTTTATTTGACCGGAAAATCGTGACCGAATCCCTACTAGAGCCCAATGGCAATGGTAACGATAATATGGTTTTTATGTTTTAAAATAACCCTTGCTAAGTCTCCTCCATTAGACTTGTCATGTTTATCTACGAGTCGTTTGGATTGGGATGGAATTTTAGCCAAATATTGTGTTTAAAAAACCATATGTTTTGGTATGACAAATTAATTAAATATCTTGTTTAGATAAATTTTCAAATGAGATTGTTGATTTTTATTTTTCATTAGAAGGTAAATTACCATGATACTCATATTTAACAATTTCATCATTATCTCTCCCCCATTTTCTTCACGAAAAACCTGCGAAATACCTCGGGTGCCACTAAACTTTTAAAATTGGGGGACGGGTACCACCGAACTACAAATAGGGCATCGGGTACCATCCAACTCTTTAAACTGTGTTTCCGTTCGTTTTTTCCGTCCAGATCAATAACGGAGTGAGAAAAAAAACGGGGATGCTAGCTCGTCATTGACGTGGGCTTACCTGGTTGCTGACTTAGTTTTGGAGGGAAAATTGGCGACAAGTCCAATTCTCAACTTCCATCTCCATTAAAACCCACCGCCACCCTCATTTTTTTTTATCCCGAACTCCTTCCTCCAGCATTAAAGAACTCATTCCCAATTAAAGGCATCACCCACCCAACTCTAACTCTTCTACCCTTCTTCTTCCTCTTGATCCCCTAAAGCCAAGACTCATCAGCAGCTGCCGAACAACAGTAGCAACAACCCCATCTTCTTCTTCTTTTGCTATGGAAGCCCCTAATTTTGGTCAAGGCCCTACTTGTCGATGTGGTGAAGTGGCTGTGCTTCGTCACTCTTGGACGGACGCTAATCCGGGGCGTAGATTTTATGGTTGCAGCAACTATGGGGTAAGCCAAGCTCTCCCCATCTGAAATTAAACTGCAAGGATTTTTGCTGATTTTGATGCAATCCAATATATAGGCCCCGAATGCATGCAACTTCTTTCGATGGGTAGATCCAGTTCTAGACGAACCAGTTAAGCAAGCCATTCTACTCAGGCGGATCCGTGAATTGGAGAGGAGGAACGATCGAGAATCTGGTTTGAGTGAAAGCAAGAAGTTTGGACTGATAATGTTGTTGTTTATTATGATTTTTTTTCATGTTTAGAAATATGTAATCTATGGATCACGTTGGTAATGTAATGGAGTTTTATGGATTTGGTATTCTATTTCTATCCAGAGTTAACCTGTTTACAAAGAAGCATTATATATGATCTGCATTGTTTGAAGAACAATACACAACACCACAGCAAAGCAAAGCAACAAAGCAATACCATACACTTGTTTAGAAAGTTGTGATCCCTAGCAAAGTAGCATTACAGAACAGCAGCAGCATATGCTCGACTCAATTAAGTTCAAGTTGCACTCACATGACTAGCCTACCAAGATGCCACAAAACATTGAGTTCAAAAGCCTACAAACTCCAAAATAAGTACTTGGCTGATGTAGTTCAAGCTGCAATCACATGATTGTTTTCAAAAGCCTATAAACTACAAAGTAAACGACATCTAACATCACACATTTCCCTTCATCCTTTCCTTCCATGGACTCCCTTTTCTCTTGTGGTTGAATTTCCTCTTTCCGGAACAAATGTGGTCCTTCCACTTCCTGGCCTAGCCCATACACGTTCCCCTTCATGAACCTGAAAATGAAAAGTGATAGATTATAAAATCAACACAAGGTTTATTCTTTTATATATAAAATGTGGGTACGCTTTTTCACCCAAAAAATTCATTACTGTTTCACTTTTAGTCGTCTTGTGCCGCGCCTCAAAGGGTTTCCCGCAAAATGGAGCTGCCCAGGAAACTTTTCCCCTACCATGCTTTTCTCCTCTAACCGCTCTCGTACTGTGCTTCTCCTCCACCTTACCTCCTCTTTGCAGCTCCTAGCGTACACCACCGCCCATAGCACCTGATGCACAGCTGCTCACACACGCCACCAACCATGCATTGTATGGCACTAGCAACTTCACTATGCATTGGGAAAAGCAATGTATTCCATGATTTCAGGCTTTCGTCCTCTTCTTCAGCACAATGTACAAGAAAAGCTTT